CTGTCTATTTGCAGTTCTTTCTGCAATAGTGTTCTGCTTTTCTTGCACATGACGCTGAAGTGAAGGCTTGAGTAAATCTAACCTTGTGCGAAGTTTTCTTTTCATTAATAACATTGATGGACTTTCTCCTGTAAGTGTATGAGCAGTGTTCCGATACACAAGCATATGTCTTGCGACAGCACTATCAATATCTTCTTTAGTGATAGATGCCTGTGTTAGAGCGGTTTTGAGAACTTGAACAATTCTTTCAGCTTGACCATTAGTTGACGGTTTGTAAGGAGCTGACCTGCGATGAATGATGCCATTTGCAGAACAGAAATTTTGAAATTCTTCTGAAGTAAGTTGCGGACCGTTGTCTGATACAATAGTCTCTGGTAAACCATGTCGACTAAAAATCTCTCGAAGAACCTTGACTGTTGCAGTTGAAGTTGTACTTGACATCTTTACCACCTCTGGGTACTTACTGTAGGCATCTACTACAACTRGAAACATTTGTCCTTGTAYTGGACCCTTGAAGTCAATATGCAATCTCTGCCATGGTCCTGTARGATAGCACCATGGATGAACAGGAGCTCCAGCTGRGTCTGCTCKTGTTACTTGGCAAACATGACATGACTTTACAGTTTTCTCGATGTCCAAGTCTATATTTGGCCACCAWACATAAGACCGTGCAATAGACTWCATGCGTGTCATACCAGRATGAGTTTCKTGTAGTTCGTKAAGGACCTTHTTTCGAAGAGTAGTGGGTACARCAACTCGTWMCCCCCACAATAGACAACCTTGTTCAATGGATAGCTCATCAATCTTATTCTTGTAAGAAGATAAAGATGGATCCACATCCTGTGGCCATCCAGTCATTGTATACTGCATAACTTTGCTGAGACACGGATCAACAGCAGTAGCTTTCTTGATCATCTCACTTGAGACATATGATATTCCTTGATTTTCAAGGAAGAAGCAATTAACATTGTGACTTATTGGCTCCCATGTCTCTGGCAAGGGTAAACGAGACATAGAGTCGGCATCTGCATGAGCTGTTGTGTTCCTGTACTCAATGCTGTAATGATACGATTGAAGAACCAAAGACCATCTTTGTAGCCTCGCGGCTACATGTAGAGGTACTGGTCTGTGGAGCAAACAATGAT